CTGCCTCAGCCTCCTGAGTAGCTGGGGTTACAGGCGCATGCCATCACGCTTGGCTAATTTTTGTATTTTCGGTAGAGACGGGGTTTCACTATGCTGGACAGGCTGGTCTCAAACTCCTGACCTCAAGTGATGTGCCTGCCTTAGTCTCCCAAAGTGCTGGGATTAAAGATGTGAGCCATTACTCCTGGCCAATACTAGATATTTTGATGTTGCTTATTTAACATAAAAAGCCAAATATTCTATGTCTAGGAGAAATAAGAATGTGTATATTCACAGTAGGCTATTAGTATACTGAAAATAGATACAGCTTGAATTTTGTATTAATACTTTTCTATGTTTCATAGCTATTTTCAGATTCTCAGAAGCATCAATGACCCAAAAGATATTGTCACTACTTCAGATTTATCTTTCTACTTTGAACTTCTACCAGCAACTCTTAGCATTTCTCATCTACCAAATCCATCCACTTTCCCAATTTTGAATATGTTCATCAGGTTTTACTGTATTTATTGATATTGCCCCAGTAATTCTGTTGAAGTATATTTGAAACATTCCTCTCTTAGTCAGTGTTTATGACAGCAAAGTGAGGTATCATGCTTCATGCCTTGTGCATCAAGAGACATGAATATTCATGTTACCTTAATTTATGTTTCCTTTTCTTCATATTACTTCATAGTTTCATAATTAACACATACATTTACATAATATATTTTAGCTCTAGTTGAAGCAAGGTTAGTCACGGCCTTAATAAATTATTAATGAATGAGGCCTTATTTTAATTTTAGGGTATTAGAAAAAATTTTCCCACACATATGGAACAGTTTTATTTAAAGGTAAAACCCATCATTATTACCAACCATTTATATGATGTTACTTCTGTGAAAAACATTTCCAAATTTCATTTAAAAAATTGTTCTTATTCCTTCATTTTTATCTTGATATATATTTTGTTTCTTGATGAAATGTGACACATTTTAATAAAAAGCAAATAAGATACTATTTTTATATTTTATTTAGTTGTTATAAATATTTTCTTAATATGAAGTTATTTTTCTCCCTGTCATGTCTGAACTATTATGCCTAAATCGAAACCACCTAGAGAGAGAGAAAATGTGTGTAGGTTTATAAGATCCAAGTCTGGGCTATCAGCTATTGAGAAAGCCCAATCATTTGTCCTTGTCTGACTTCATGCTGTTCTCCAAAGACTAATCTGATTATAATGTTTGGCTTCCCATATAATTTTCTGTGGAGAAAAATAATCAAGTGACGCAAAATGTCAAGGTCACATGAGAGACACTCGTCATTGCGAATCCATAGGTCAGCATTCTGGTTTGGAATGTCTACCAAGTTTAAGGCACTGGAGAGTCTGCAGTAGCCAAGTGGAAATAACCTCTCATTAATGGAGCTTCTACTCTCTTGAGGAGATAATCTCCAAGTAAACAAAGAGTCAAAATCATACAGAGAGTGGTAAGTGCTATGATGAAATGGTATAAAGAAGAAGGGAGACTATTTTATATAATATAACTGGGGAAGGCCCCTGAGGAAGCAATATCTGAAGAGAGACATGAATCATAAGGAAGACCTAATCAGGCAAAGATGTGTGGAAAGAAAATTCTTGACAGTGAAAAGCCTCCAAAATGGGAACACACGTGTTTTGTCCAAGAGGAACACTAGTAGAGCTGGAGTTCTGGGAAACAGAGTGTGCTGTGCTAAGATAAAATCCCGTGTGTTTGATTTGTGTAAGTTAGTCTGCATCTGATGCATCTAGTGAATGTCAACATTGAATTTCTAGACCAGCAATGCTGAGAACCAGACCTGTGGTAGGTACCTCTACAATGGACTCCATTAATCCCTGTCTCCGGGTATTCATAGTCTTATGTTGTTTTCTTCCATACTTTGGAAGAAATGGTCCAGATTTGGTCTCTGTGATCAATGGCATATGGTAGACATCATAGTTTTTCACTTCTGAGATTAGATTATAAAAAGACCAAGACTTCTGTATTAGACACATACTCTGTCTCTCAAATCACTTGCTCAGAAGGAAGGAAGCAGCCACATTGAAAGTAACCCTACAGATAGGTACATGTGAGCTTCTATAGGAAAAAAATGGAAAGCCTCCAGCATATCGCCAGTGAGAAACCCATTTGCCAACCACTGCTTGAGTGAGATTTGAGGCAAGCCCTAGTCCATTCAAGCATCATGAGACATCCTGAGACAGCATCACTGAGAATCCAGCCTCTCTTGGATTCCTGACCCTGGGATACTTTTACACAAACAAATGAAGAAAGGAATACATAAGCAAACAAACAAAGGATTGGTTTTCCCTTGACACCCAACAGTCATTTTAATTCTCTCTACCATCTCCACATTTTCTGACTATCCCTCAAAAAACATAATTAAGAAGATGATTCTTCTATAAGGAAGGACTGTAAGATAGAATCTAAAATTTTTTCCTTTCGGCAATCTAGTTATTTTCAGATGTTCACTGTCTCCTAATATTACAAATAATAAAGACTTGACTGTTTCAATGAGTTTTAGGCAAATACATATCCAAAGAACTTAATTGTATTATTCCTTGATATATTTAGAGGAATGATCATAAACATTTTAAGGAAACAAAATACGAATTCCTTTTTCTAACTGAAAAAAATGATCCTAGAATTTCCATACATCAAAGTGTCTTTATTAGTTGCTTAAAGGATATACATCTTAATGTATGTAATATTATAATTCTTACACACATTCACATTTTTCACAGATTGCTAGGCATATACACTTAAGACAAAAGATGAAAAGAAGAGAAAATAACTAACAATCCAACATCTTGCTTGTATCCCTAAGGAATTCATGAGTTATCTCTTCCCAGAATAGTTATTGTAAAACTAAAATTATTTTTCTTAAAACTATGTTTTTACCTCTATTTTTATTGGGAGTGCAAAATAAAGGATACTATAATATTCTCACATAGTTTTAAGTTATAGATATAGACTGGTGATAAAAAGGTATAATACATAGTGAAAACAAAGTTTATTTTTGTTCAAAGAAGAATTTCTTTCTGTATTTCTCATTCTATAGACCCCAAACTAAAGTTATATGTATTTTATGTCAGAATTTGGTTCTTCAGATTTTTTGTAAGTTATAAAATGAACACACTAGATTGCAAGTAATTTTGAAAATTTCTTAAAATGTAAAAGCTGTAAGAGCTATATAAGTTATATGTATATGAGTCTATCAAAGAGAACCAGAATCAGTTCTAATATATCTTTACAACATTTTTCTATGTCCAAAATGGTTTATACATATTATTCTACTTATTTTAATTGTTTAATACTGGACTGCAATCTCAAAGCCTGCACAATACCCCAGCACCAATTATTGTTATTATTGTTCCTCATTACTCTGATTTATTCACACGGCTACCTCATATAAAGTCCATGTTATCAATCTATATCAGGTTTTAATTTATATTTAAGATTTGTACTTGAAAATATATTTTAAAACCTAACAACCTATGTCAGGTTTATTTTATACTTCAAATCAAAGCCATTATTTGAGAACAGAGGGAAAAGGATTCTCCTCTGCATACCCAATATTTTCTCCTTGACCTAAATGTATATGTTTAGATGAAGGGAACAACTGCTTTTCTATCTTGGTTTAGCTTCCAGTTAGTCATGTTTCCACTTACTTTAAATGTGGCAGACAAAAGCATGAGGGATGGACACAGTGGCACTAGATGCACTTGCAGGAAATTTCCACTTGAACAAAACACCCTCAACCATATTGCCACCTGTTTACACCCCCAACCTGGGATGGGGTCCCTTGGGTTAGGCCCGTACCCAATGCTTTAGTTTAAAGAAAGGCATTATTCAAAAGTGCAAGATGGTGAAATATGCAGACATTTCCTCATTTCTATGCTCACTCTTTTTCTTCTCTTACGGAGGATTAAGTAGGTATTTTATCGTTATGTATATATTCAAATAAAATTCATATCATTACTGAAAGTTATTTTCATAATTGTGTCATTATATTGCAATGACACAATTTTAATATATAATCTCGTACATAAAATGCACTTGAAGGTATACTGTTGATATATTAGTCGATCTAGTTTGCTTAGAAAAGGATTTAATAAGTAAAAAATAAGGTTACATTTTGGTTCAACAGATGAATCTAAGTCCTATTGAAATGTTTGAAAAATTATTCACTGTACTCAATATTTTTCTATAATACTGCAGAAAGGTGATAATAGCAACACAGTACTTCAAATATTTTCATCATAACATATACAAGTCATACTGATTTAATCAAGTGAAGAACCCATTTTGACCTTCAAAAATAATTGTATCTGTACAACACAAAATTCGATTGTTACACATGAATAAGGCAAAGCTGGGTGAAACAAAGCATTTTCTTATGATAAACATTGCATAAAATTTTAGGGATTAGTTTTTACTTTAAAATGTCCTATATTTTTATATAAGCCAAATTTTAAATAGGCTAGTAAAAAGGAACAATTTACAAGAATATGTAACTTTTAGCTAAACCACTTTATGAACTCTTGAAAAATCTTAATCTTTTTTCCTAAAAATTTCTGGCATATTCTTAATTTAAAAACTGAAATATATACTACAATCCATAAATTAACTTGAGGAATTAAGCATTCCATTAAGTTGAACCTTATGACACTATTATTTTTAACTATAAGAATGACAGTTTCATATGTTTTGTGTAATAATTTTCTGGCACGTATCTTCAGCCATGAGAAGAAACTTAAGTGAACTCTTTCTACCTTTACCTGTAATTACATTTTGATAAAACAGGATACATTCTCATGTAATATGAATCTCTTACAGTGTACTATATGTTTTGGCCTTTAGGAAAATGTGTAGACAAATTAACTCAAAGTGACAAAACACAGACAAAATAGAAGTAGTTATTTTTCTTACTAGCCAAAAAAAAAAAATTATAGCTCAAAATTCAGAAAATACATAGTCACTTACTTTGGTAGAGTTTTCAAGTGATTTTCTCTTAACTCCAAGATCCGCAATTTGACAAGTCTACAGAAATGAATTTTAAAAATTTCCTCTTAGTATTTCTGTCTAAAAAATTATTGAATAAGATCTAGTATTTGGTAGCACTATAGGGTGACTATGGTTAACAATAATGTATATTTAAAAATAACTAAAAAACAGAATTGGAATATTTGTAACACAAAGAAATGATAAAAGCTTGAAGTGATGGATACCCTAATTACACTGATTTGATCATTACACATTGAATGTCAGCACTAAACTATCACATGTACTGCATAAATATATACAACTATATGTACCCGTAATAACCCAAAATTAAAATAAAAATAAATTTTACTATGGTAAACTATCAGTATCACTATCCAAACAGCTATGTCCAAAGATTTTTTAATATGGTAATAGATTTTAAGGAAATATACATATTGATTATGAGTATAGTTACATCAACATTGGGCAATGAGAAATGTCATTTTCATAAAATTAACTGAGATATTTTAAAGGAATCTTTGGATTCCAGCATTCTAAATTTCATATGTTTTATAAAATATATTTGTTGTTTGATTTCATGCATTCAATAGATAACTTAATGTATACTAAAGACCATACATATGCTGTGTTCACTGGAATATGGCAATAATTTCCCTCAAGAGACTATGAATGAACTAAAAAGCAAATACTACAGCATAGAGTTAAAAAAGTGGGACTTTGTAGGAAGGTAAGTCTGTGTGAAATTCAGATTCTCATATTCTGCTGCTGTGACACTGGGCAAATTAACCCCTCTTAATTCAGTTTCCTCATCTATAAGTATATGACAACAGTATCAAATTAAAGCATAATTTCTGGTATAAGTTTTAATAAGAATTGGCAATGATTATTTTCATTAATTACACAATGGGAGAAGTGCTGCAATATACCATATTTCATTGACTCTAAGGTGCATATTTTAACATTTATGAAAAGGTTATGCATTTAAAAATCTGTCATATCAACTGTCCTGTGACAATGCTGGGGTGGGGGAAATCACGTGAAGAGAATGAGAGGTTTTCACAGTTTCTGTTGCTTGAGTAACATTTGTGATTAGGAATGCATTTCAGCTTAATTACTTGTTAAGTTTTGCAGTCTAGGACACCCTATTGTTATTTATGCCCCTATTGAATGTTGAAATGCACCCAAATGAGGCTACTTTAAAACAGATATTAATTGGATTCTCTGAATTCTTAATGTTTTGGAAAATATTTTACTATTTGAAGTTTTTTATCTACCATCTCTTAAATTTATTGTGCTTTTAGGTTTTCCTGCAGGTCTCTCCCCATCCCCCCCTTTTTTTTTTGCCTCCTATCAAGTTTTAATTTTAATCTTATAACAATTAATCTGCATAGAAAATAAAGTGATTCAGTTCTTCAGAGCATGGGTATATTGCTAGTAAAGGAGACTTCTTAAACATTTGTCTGTCTCAAATCTTGTCAACAATTCTAATAGTATGATATTTTGTATTGATTTTAGTTTATAGGAACATAGAATCTCAGGTTTTAAAAGGAATTTTAACTGTCCTCTTGTTAAACTATCCAGTTGAAGGTTAAAGACCTTTTTAGATTATAATAAAAAATAGAGCATGTTTTTGTAGGCAATTTATGCAAAATTAAATTCTATTTCCAAATGGTTTTGTTGTTAGTATTATGTTTTTCACTTGCCCAAATCTTTTCCTCACATGAGGACTACTTAAAGAGAACTGATAAAAGTTCAAGAAAAAAATGTACCTTAAGATAATAATTGTTTTCTGACTTGATAAATCCAAAGTATGTTGTAATGCTGTGGTTAGTACCAGAGGGGCAATGCTAGTTTCTACGGATGAACGATGAAATGCCAATTAATTTAGAAGCCAGGCAATGCTGTTTGGACACTCTGTGAATTTTAAAACTGCCCAGATATAAGCTGTTTATAAATGTTGTGATGGTGTGATATGCAAAAGTAAGGGAATCTGGCAAATGTTGATGTGCTCTCAGTGTGTAAATGGAGGCTGTCCCATGTTAAGTGACTTCATTATTCAACGGAGTTCTCAATGTCCTGTTCAGTCAACAGATTGGTGTCAAGTTATACCTAGTCTATTATTTGAACAATTTCAAAGATGATCATTTACATAAATGCATTGACAATAAACTTAAAAATGTCCTAGCTTTTACAATATATGTTTTGCACAAAACATTCACTGTAGAACACCTGGGAAATATTAAAAAACATGTCAAGATGACAATAAAAACTATCCATAATTTTACTTCTAAGGTACCTGTCTTTTATTTCATACAGATTCACATTCATATTGGACACATCTTAAGAATTTTTAAAAAACACCTAAGATAATATTATGAATTATTACATAGTATTATAATATGGATGAACCATAATATATTTAACCAATGTCCTCAGATGTGTGATTCCACTTTGTTCACATTGTAATTAACAATAAACTTGTCCATAAATCCTGGCGGGGTATCTGATAATTGTAAGAGACATGTCTAGAAATGATTTACAAAGGCAATAGTTGCAAATATTTTCAAATGTTCTAAAAGCATACTGCCATGCATGAAGGTCATAACATTCTGCAGTCCTATCAGAGAGCATGAGATTATCTCTGTTTTGTAATCTAATAGTTTTTGCAATATGTTAGAACATAAGGTCTTTTACTGTTGTTTTAACTTTTATTATATTTATTATTTGTGAAAACAGGCATTTTTCATGTGTTCAATAGCCATTTATATGTGTTATTATAAATTGCTTTGTTGTTGAAATTCAACCATTTTTCTTCTAAAATCTTTGTTTTCATACTTACATGTAAGAATTCTTTATGCATTAAATATGTAAACAATTTGTTTTTCATATATAATTGAACTATTTTTCCAGGTTATTGTTTTACCTTAATTTTTCGATTATCTGATATTTTATGTTAAAAGTATTTAGGTCATCATATGTATCCATTTATGATATTTTTCTTTGCTTCTCTGCCTATAAAGGTATTTCTCAACCAGAGTCATAAATATTCATCTCTTTTTCTCCCCCGGATCATTTCTGGCTTTATTTTTTTTTTAATATTCAACTCTTTAATTCATCTAGAATTTATTTGACTATTAATGTCATGTAAAGGCCTAATTTCACTTCGCTTTTTGCAAAAGTTTCATTAATTAACAGTTTCATTTATTGAATAATAATGAGGCCTATCTTTAATCACAGCTGTCACTTTTGAAGTCTCATCAACTGGTGCTGGTAAAGCACTTACCTAAGGTGAAATATAATTGCATAATTTAAATTTCTTATTCTTACCTTCCAAAATTGGCTGGAAGAAATTCAAGAAAGGCGTCATTCAGGTAGAGCTGGGTCAGGTTTAGGAGCTGTGTGAAGCCATCAGGGAGTCTAAAAAGGAGTTAAAGTTTTAGTCACTGCATTGATGTTGCTATAGGAACAGAATAAGCATATATATCTCTGAGGAGAAAAAATAGAAATGCAATACATTTTTCAACTCTCCTTTGGTATTACAGTAATGAAAGAATTTATTGAGCATGTTGTCACAGTTTGAAAATTTTGCCTGTTACTAAAGTAAATAGCATTTATCCACCTCCATGCTGCTCTCCTATATTAATATTTATGCCACAGCTAAAATCAGCAGCATCATCTCTTATTGCTGGCCTAACTTTATGCATACCAGCCAAGACATTTTTCATGGAGATCTCAAGTTGTTTGGATTGCTTGTAATTTTAAAACTAATAATGTTCCTTTTTCAACAGAATATTCACATATATAGTCAGGCAAGAGTATCCCGTTACTATTTCACTTTATCATCAAAATTTGTCTACAATTTGTTACAGTGATGACTAAAGTTGCCCAGTATGAAAAGGGGCATGAAGGAGTATGTTGTTACTTTAACTAATAATTTATTTTAATGCCTGTTCAACATGTATGTAAATCATGATTCAAATTGGTCTAATTCATATTTATTAAAAATGAGAAAGGACATTGAAAAGATAATTAAACAATCATAAAGGCTATAAATTGTATCAAAAAAATAAGAAAATAACATTGAGGGAGTTTCAGAAATTAGATGAAATAATTATTTGAAATGTAAAAATATTTAATTCAAGTATTTCTCAGGAGACTTGTTTTTAGAAGAATATTGTTTTTCTTATAAGTAAATTTCTGTTTAAACATTTTAATGTCTTTATGTATGGTCTACTTCAGATTATGTTCTTTTATAAAATACTCTTAAATAGCCTTCAAATTTGCCTTCTCCTCGAATTACAGCCTATCTTCTTCCTTGCAGTTACTGCTAAAATTATTTAAAAAGCTACCTATACTCATTGCTTTTTATTACTACTCAAGCCATTGTTTTCTGGCATCTACCCCTACTCTATTACTGAAAATGCACTTGCTAAGGCCTCCACTGACCTGCTAAGTTCCAGTCCCATTAGCCTCATTTTATTTCGGATCCCACAATGCCTAGCAACAGCTGCCATCGCGGCTTGTTCTCTCCTTCTTTGCTTCTACTACAACAGTTTTCCTGCTTCTCTTCCTGCTCCTGGGACATTGTATCTGAGTTTTATTCCATGGCTTCTCTTCCTATGTTCAATACTTTGTCATATGTATATATAAAACACACACACACGTGTGTGCGTATATACATACATGTATAAAATAATATACGTACCCACAATAGAATGAAATAGAATCACTATCTTTGAAATACTCTGGGTGTCCTTTCCCATCTACATTTCCCTATTTGCCCCACAAATTCCTGAATCATATTTAATATTCTGTTTTTAAACAGCTTTACCACCAATATTTAATTACCTAAAACAAAACATATTGTATGGGTTTGAATGCTTTTGAACTTTATATAAATCAAATAATACTATGTACATTTTCCCAAGACTTTAAAAACTAGTATTAGATTTTAAAAAATCCATACATTTTGATGTGAATGATTGGCCATAATAACATAGTATTCCATTGTATGAATATACAATTTACCATTTTCCTTCTAATGAACATTACAGTGTTTCTAGTTTTTTGTTTTGCTATTACAAATACTGGCTTCTGTGAATATTTTTGAACATATAGTGTACATTTACAAAAGATTACTTAAGTCATGTACTTAGAAGTGACATCATTGGTCATAGGAAATGCAGGTCTATGTTTACTAGATGTAGCCAAATTTCATTCAAAGTAGTTCTATCTATTTATAATGAAACCATCAGCACATAAGAACTTTTTCAATGTCCTTCCTAACCCTTAGCTTTGTTAGCTTTTCTCGTGTTTGCCAATTTTAGTAAATATAAAATAGCAATAATCATCATTTCCCTGATTAGTTAGGAATATAAGTTTATTAGAAATTTTTGTTTCCTTTTCTGTGAGATACATGTTTACTTATTTTACCTATTTTTCGATTGGTGCCCTACTCAGAACTCCCTGCCTTTATCATTTTGGTGTACACGGAAACAAATTATGATTGCCTGCTCCTTTCCCGCTGTTTGAAGGCTTTCTTCAGCTGCTGGAGCCTGCTCTGTTAGTGTACATGGTAGCCCAAGTTCCATGGTATTAATGTCCCTTTCAGAGACAGCACTCAACTAACTACCAGTAGGAACAGAAATATCTCTGCTCTCTCTCCCATTGTGTTTGACAACTCTGGTATGTGTTTTATACTGTTAACCAGAGTTCCACAGAAATCTAAAGTTCAATGGCCAATTTGAAAAATTGTTTGAAAACATATCCTCAACAAGTATTCCCTGGGCTTATCTTCTAAATACACTGCTTATATTCTTTTCTAAACATCTGCTTCTGAGGAATCTAAAACAAACACATTTATATTTTTATAGTAATTTATGACAATTCTTTACACATTCTCAGTAATAAGTCCTCAATGCCATTGATAAGTTCTTGGAAAATGGCAACTTTAAGCGAAACTATGTATAACAAAACAATTTTGTCTTTTCTCTACATTATAATGAAACAATGTTGAAAGAAACAACGTTATTTGCGGACCTGTTGTATGTCTTTTCACTTAAAGTTGCAGCTTTCAACAACCTATCAATGATGTTAAGTGAAAACTTACTGTATATGAATCTGATATTGGTTATTTTTGCTGTAAATATACTGTTCTAGTTTGTATTTTGGAGCTGAATTGTGTGGGTATGACTTCATAGAGGATGTTTCCATAAATTTGCTTTTAAGAGACATAGGATTTATGAAAGCAGAAAAGAAAGAGAAGGGAGGCAAGTAAAAAATGAGGGTTTTTATAATGTAGAGGTAAGAAGACACTTGAGATGTGTAACAAAGAGAACATGAGTTCTAGGGCAAATACTTTATGTATGTATATATTTGGAGTTAATATTTAAGAATATCAGGAGAGACCAAAGTTTACTTAAATGCTCAACTCAAAGTTTTGAACTTGATCTTACAGAAATGAAAAAAAGATGTATGGTAGGTCATTAATTTTCTGTGTGTTTTCCTTTGTTGTAATGTGTTAGAACTTACATCCTGATAGCATGACAGTTGTTATGATGAAGGCACAGATGTTAAATAATTTCAATTGGAAATAACTATTACCTTTGATGTCTTGTAAATCCAAACAACTAGTTACATTTGGCTCTTCAAAAAGATGATCAATGTGATACATATAAAATTAGATGAATATTAAAACCATTAATCTAATAATTTAACAGCATCACTACTAAGTAAAAAAAAAGGCTTTAAAAATACTAATTTTCTATTCGTGGGGACAAACATTTTTCCTATATATCAGAACTATCTAACTTCTCTCAGTCCACTATTCTCCATATGTATGTAATAAATGGTATTGTACTATCGCTTTGATCAAAAATATACTTCTTTTTTTGCTTCTTCTTTGATAATGATTATGCCCTAGAAGAAGAACTTTGCATATTACATAGAACATTTTGATTTTGAGTTTAAGAATTGACCACATTTTGCAAATTCCAGTTACAAAATTGGATCACCAAAAATACGGTATATGAAAAACCAGCATGCAAAGTAGGTCAGTTTTTCAGCCTGGTTATAAATAAAGATGTATTGACATTTTCTATCGAACATTTCTTCTTAAAAATGCAGAGTTAAGAATATAAGTACATAGTATGTCTTATTTAATGACATCTATGTTTTATTTCAATTCACTTCAACATGAATGGTTACTCTGCACTTAGATTGAAAATTAATGTCTTCTTTATTTTCCTTATAGGATTCTGTTCATAGATTTAATTGAATATTTATACAATTATGCTTTGTACTAGTATTGGAGATTTTCTATTCCTGGAAAAAATTATAAATTATTTGGGGATAAAGAATTTTTAAAATCTCTTAAACTGTCTATTATTGTACTTTGAAAACAACATATAATGAAAAATGGATTCAGTGTTATTTGAAAAATCATATATATATATATATATATATATATATACAGTCAATAAGTCTGCCAAAAAGGATATTCAACCTTATCACTAATTTTATGGTACATTTTTTAGCTTCTAATAGAGACAAGGGCCTGACTTGTCAATATAATTATTTCCAGAAAAATGTATGAGGAATTGTGAGAAAAAAAAATTTGTAGCAAGTTGGATACACCTGAAGAAGATGACAATCACAGGTTGTCTTTATTTTCCTCCTAAGTATTCCATCAAATCCGATATTTGACTTTAAGTAAGAAATGCTCAGTAATAAAATGATTTTACTATCCTAAAATAGCTTGGTAGTTTTTCATATTTGAATGATTTATTTAAAAATTCAAAGAATATACGTGCTTTATAAATTGGCAAATACTTCACTCTACTAAGTAAATATCTTCTTTTTATTAATTGCTGAAATGAAAAGTTGTATGTACAAATACCTAGTAACATAGAAGAAATGAGATCTGGTGTTTGATAGATCAGGAGGGTTACTAGAGCTAACATTAATTAAGTTTACATTTCAAAATAGCCAGAAGAGAATAATCAGAATGTTCCTAGTGTAAAGAAATGATAAATATCTAAAGTGATGAATATCCCAATTACCCTGATTTGGTTATATAAATGTATCAAATTATTACATGTGCCCACCCCAAATGTACATCTATATAGATCAACAATAAAAAAAAACTACAAGAAAAAAAGAAAAACAATAGACCCAGACATCCATATAGTTTAGCAGTTGAGCACACATATTGATGTCAGAAGACCTTGCTTTGAATCACAGTCCTTCAAATTATTTTCATCTGACATTTACAATTCCTTAACTTTGCAATAGTTGATTTCCTTATTTGTAAAATGATAATACTAATATCTGCTGCTCAGATTTACCCCAAATGATTAAACAATTGCTTATCCCATAGTAAGAATCAGCAAATGAAAGCAATTTTACTACTTTTCTTT